TGCACGATTTAAAATATAACATGCGGTGTAAATGGCTTCGGCCCAAAAATATTTAGGAAGATTATTTTCGCAAAGTATTGTTCTACTTATCTCTTCTAAAGTTCTATTCTTCCTTTCTACTACACTATTTTATTGAGTGGTTCTAGGTGCTAAAAAATTATGTCCAATACCATGCTCACCACAAAACAATTCAAATTTTTCATTTTCAAGTTCTCTACCATGGTCGGTTCGAATATTAGTAATAAGAAAGTCTTTTTCATTTTGAATTCTATGACAGAGTTTTGTGAAAGAAGAAAAGGTTTCATCTTTGTGTGCTAAAAACATAACCTATGTAAATCTTTAATAATCATCAACAATAACAAGACAATAATGTTTACCACTTAGACTAGATGTCCTTGAGGGACCAAATAAATCCATATACAATAGTTGTAAAGGTTTAGTTGTGGAAATATGAGATTTTGATTTAAATGATGTTTTAGTTTATTTTTCTTGTTGACAAGCAAAGATGATCTTTTTTAAATTTAATTTTTGGAAGTCCAATGACCAAATCCTTTCTCAAAAGTTTAGCAATTAAATCCATATGAACATGACCAAGTCTTCTATGCCATAACCAACTATTTTCATTATTAACATATAAACATTTAACATCACTAGCATAGAGATCATTAAGATGAAAAACATAGACATTATCATGGTGGTTACCAACGAATAAGGCTTTATGATCATTTGTGCTTTCAATTGTGCAATGTGATTTATCAAAAATAACTCGATTATCTTTATCACATAATTGACTAATACTAAGTAGGTTATGTTTAAGTCCATCAACAAGTAAAACATTTTCAATAGAAGGGTTAGGAGAAATATCCATGCTACCAATACCGATGATTTTTTCTTTCTTGTTGTCTCTAAAAGTAACAAATCCTCCATCTTTCGATGATAGTTTAGTAAAGAATGATTTATCTCTGGTCATGTGTCTGGAACATCCATTATCAAGGTACCACTTTTCTTCTTTAGCTTTGGACTTAAAGCAAATCTACAAGATGATAATTAAGTGTTGGTTTTTGGTACCTATAGTTTCTTGGGTCCTTCTTGGTTAGTTTTGTTAGATCCCTTAATAATCTAAATATTTTTATTTCCCATGTTCATATTCTTTTTGAATAGACAATAAGATATATAATGGTCTTTCTTTCTACAATAATGACAAGTAATATGAGGGTGTGTCATGAGAGGTGCCTTTTCAAAAATTGTATTGAGATTCTTTTGTTTCTTAATAGGGTCATATCCAATACCCGCTTTATCAAAAACACATTTTTGATTTCCAAGAAGCATGTTGAGATTATCTCTATCTTTTACAAAATTTTCAAGTGTTTTTGTTAAATCATCAACATTATTTTTTAAAGTAGTTTTCTCATTAGAGAAAGTATTAAAATCATTTTTCAAAACAATTTTTTCTTTCTTTAATTCTTCTACATTAATAGATAAAGATGCAACAAATTTCTTCAACACATTATTTTTGGCACAAACTTTTCTAAATTCATCTTGTAGTTCATGGAATGCACTTTCAAGTTCTTCATAAAGAGCAGTTACCTCATCTTGAGTAGAGTCTTCATCTTCAAAAGCCATGAGACATAAGTTGGCTACTTCATTTTCAATTTCATCACTTGAGCTTTTATCTTCACTTTCTCCCCAAGCTGCTACCATGGCCTTTTTGTTTCTTTTGTAGCCTTTTGCATGATTCTTCAATTTTGGACAATCCATCTTCATATGTCCAAGATTTTTGCACTCGTAGCAAATAATAGGTTCTTTCTTGTTATCTTTATTGTACTCTTTCTTGAAAGGTCTTTTTCCTCCATAATTGTTTTTCTTGAAGTGCTTTTTCAGATTTCTACTAAACATGGCGTAGCTTTCATCCTCACTAGAGTTTTCATGTTCTTCTTTATTTGATTAGGTTTTGAATGCAATTCCACTTTTCTTTTTGTTTTCAACATCCTCATGACTTTCATGGTGATCTCATGAGTCATAAGGGAACCCATAAGCTCATCTAATCCAAGTGTGGAGAGATTTTTGATTTCTATAATGGCCGTGACCTTTGCTTCCCAATTCTTTGGTAAGCACTTAAGATTTTTTCTCACAAATTCACTGTTAGTATAAGTTTTGCCAAGAGATTTCAAAGAGTTTACAATTTCAATAAATCTAGTAAACATATTTGAAATAGATTCATCAGAGTTCATTTTAAACAATTTATAACTATGAACAAGCATATCAATACGAGATTCTTTCACTTGGTTTGTACCTTCATACGTTACCTCAAGTTTGTCCCAAATTTCTTTGGCCGAATCATAACTTGAAATTCTATTGTATTCCTTAGAGTCTAATCCACAAATAAGGGTGAGTTTAGCTTTAGCATTGGCTTGCAATAATTTATAATCCCTCTCATCACATTCATCTTCAATTTTAGGTACACTAATATTTTCTACTAATTTGGTAGGAATTTTTGGACATTTGATGACAATAATTTACATGGCATAATCAGTGACTTGAAAGTATAGGGTCATCTAATCCTTCAATGACTATAGTTGTTTCTGTCGAACAATGGTGGCCTAGTTGTGGCTTGTCCTTCAGCTAAGTTTGCAATGGATCAAAACTCCCAGATGGTTAAATCTAAAACAAGAGTTTAGGCTCTGATACCACTTGTTACCCAAAAGACAATCTAAGAGGAGGGGTGAATTAGGTTTTTACAAATAAAAATAATAATACCCTAAAAAAAATTATGACTAGCATAATAGATAAATGTTGTTAATGAAATAGAAATAATTAAAACAAGTATTTTAACAACTATGTCAGTTAATGGTTTTAGCACAGTAAAAATGTGAAATATAGCTATGGCAATTTAAATAAAATAAAGAGATAAGGGAGAGAGAGACATACAAATTTGTAGTGGTTCGGCTTCAACTCGGCCTGCGTCTACTCTTCAGGCTTCACTTGAGATTTTTCACTATACTCTAGCTTCACAGGATGCTAGCAACCTTTTCATAGATGGAGCAATCCTCCACAGATTTTACACAGACTTTCTAAGTCAAGAACACTGAGTGTACTGCACTCTTACAAGGTTGAAAAGAATGTGTTTTTGCTTTCACAGAAAACTATAAGAATTATCTCTCAAAGATAGATATAAAAATGAAGTTCTAGTTTTTCTGTAAACCTCACACGGGAAAGATGGGTTTAAAATTATACGTCTCAGTGTATAATTTTTGAAAGAGGAAGTAAACAAAAAATTGAAGAACACTTCTCAGAGAATTTTTCAGAGATTAGATGTGAGTGATTATAGATCAAAGAATATTTTCGGGTTTTTTTTATAACTTGTTTACATTAGAGGTTTTGGTATATATAATGAAACTTATAGCCGTTTATAGTTGTTGTATTCATTTGAATATCTTTCACACCATCATTACAAATTTGAATATCTTCCACTCCATCATTGCTAATTTGAATATCTTCCACTTGAATCTTTTGGCCTTCTGCTGGGCTGGGTTAGGCTGTTTGAACTTTTGTTTTGGGCTGTTTGAACTTCTGATTTAATCAAATATTAAATACATTCTAACAACATTTAGAATAAAAGTTTTAGGTAAGAAATAATGGGACAAAATAAATTTTGATTCTATTTTTTTCTTTCAAATAAATTAAAACATAAAATCATCAAAATAAATATTGATTCTATTTTTCTCTTTCAAATGAATCATCAGAATAAATTTTGATTCTATTTTTCTCTTCCAAATAAATTAAAAACATAATTAAATAAATTACCAAAATAAATTAGTCTAACATTATCCATTTTTCAAACTAAATGAAAATTCATTAAAACACATTAAAAATCACAAACCGAAACCCAAATCTTAGAAACACAAATCCAAACACAATGAAACCTTTCAAAATTCAAAACACATTTCAAAATGAAACCCATTCGAAGTAGATCAGAGAGAAGATTTGAGATTTTTTTTTTTGGGGGGGGGTAAGTTATAAGGGGTATATCTCAGGTAATACAACAAATCTCATACTCCCAAAAAAAGGAGAAGCTAATAAAATAACTAATTAAAACACCCATACATCTGCAGGGTACCCAAAAAAAGAAGACATAAATAAAAATCAAGATTGTCTATATATCATTTTTATCCCTAAGTACCCTTTATCATAAATAATAGATGGATATTTGGAGAAGATATATGTACAATTATACAAAAGTGGTTAAATAACCCACTAAACAATTCAGTAGAACCGTGGCTGAACAATATACACCAGCCCACGACCAAACTCAAATCCACCAGCCCATTTACTAAATTAAACGTGGGCCCAAGACACCACCTATCAAATAATAACCTACCAAACACGGTCCAAGTCCATCGAGCTTGCATCAACAGATGTTGCTTCATAAGCCCACGTAGAAACCAACTCAAAATAATTTAAAAAACACTCTAACCACTCCCAAAAATGGTTTTGGAAAACCATAGGCTACCAAAACCAGCAGGAGGTTTGAAAAAGTTTGACAAAGCACGTGATTTGTATGCAACCACGCCACTGACCTTAGCTCATGCATGTATGAAGCTGTAAGTTACATGCCTAGCTGCAAAGATCCACAAGAACAACAATGCCAGTAAATAGGATCGATGACAGATAGAAAAACCTCTGTGTAGCTACACCAGAGTAACCACGGTAAGAAATCACCAACAACCTCAAGTCGAAACCTAAAGATCTGAGAATTGAGAGAGAATAGATGAAGAGTTGCTGTAGGCGGTAGAGATGTGAACCTGAAGATCTGAGAACTGAGAGAGAGAAGAGATGAAGAGTTACTGTAGGTGGTAGAGATGTTACTTCCGGCGGCGACAGAGAAGAGAGAGGGAGAGGACATGAAGAGAGAGAAATCTTGTATATCCTTTGGACTTCTCTACCGTCATCATCGTCATCAATTCTCACCAATTCCGTGGACGTTCTCTTCGTCGGCCTTTCTGACTTCTCGCATTAACTGGAAGGCCTTTTCATCGGCCTCGCTACGTGCTTCTCTTCTATCTCTCTCTGCCAATACACAAAAAGCTTGAATTCGATATATATATATAATCAAAACAACCCATGGTCACCAAAACTTGTATATATACACAGACATATAGAAAGAGATAAATAAATGAAAAGCTAAGAAATGAACGTGGTTTACTTGTTGTACAAAGCTAGGGTTTCGGTCTTTTAGAGAGAGAGAGAGAGAGAGAGAGAGGATGTGGGAAAAATGTTAATGGGCGGAAATCTAAAATCCTTAAATTTGTTCATACATTTTTTAACGTTGAATGTTATTATTGAAAGTCATCTCAGTCGTTCAAATGTCCTAGTAGGATAAATGTGTGTAAGACAAATTTAAAAATAGTCCTGCTTTATTTTATATACTAGCGTATGCCCGTGCCTGAAGGCACGGTACAATTAATGATGAGATTAAAATATAAATCAAAATTATTGAAGAATGTATTCAAATTTATTGTTTTTTGTTTTTTTTCTTTTCTTTTCAAAGAGTAGGTAATGAATTCACAGGAAGGAGAAAAATTCCTAAATGAAGACATGAAACTCAAATGAAATACCAATTTATTAGTAACCCAAATAAATTTCAAAAACCCCCAAAATTAGGAACCTCCATGACTCCCAAAATGATGTAAACCAATCATATATTTTTATTATTTTTATTTCCTTCCTGGACCAATCATAGGTTAGTGAGAGTTATAAAGTTGTATTTTTTTAAGAATATGTAGCATTTTTTTTTATATTTTTAATAAAAAAAATCTTCCCAAGATAAATTACACTTCCCCCAAATTGCAATCTCTCAATTTTCTCATCCACTCTCTCTCTTCTTCTCTATTACCTTAGTCTCTCTCCCCCAAAGACTGTAAAACATTAATCTTCTCAACTGTCTCTCTCTCTCTCACCGACTGATATCCCCTGTTCCTCTCTCTTCTCAAATGAAGACTCTCTGTTTTCTTAAGTTATAGATGATAATATTAAATTTTTTTAAAAAATAATTGTAAACTAAAAATAGATTGAACAATTTAATTCCAATAGAACCCAAGCATCATATTAAAGAATATTAATGAGTTAACGTTGTGCACTAAAATGCTATGAACAACTGATAAAAAAATTAAAAGAAAAATCAAATAACTCTAACTATCCATTTGGTTTGCTCAGATGAACACACCATGAAATTGGATCAAGGGACTGGACAATAAAGCAAGGACCACAACAACATCCATCCAGCAATGTGTACATCAGCATGTTTTGTAGATCAAAAGAGAAATAATTGTATAACTTAATCAGCATAATCCACAAATTAAAAGTAAATATTTGTAATCCACTAACAAATTGAAAGAAAATGAAAAAGAAGAAAAAGAAATCTTCAAAGAAAAAAAGCCCTAATTTAAGTGCAGATGATAAGGCGAAAATGGCAAATAATGTTTCATAGTAGCGGGAAGCAAAACCATTTCAAACCAAAATAAGTATGTGAACACATTTACAAACCAAACCAATATGAAGGACTCTACATCTCTGCCAAAAAAAAATGTTCACACCACAAAATCTACACATGAAGAATCAAGATTTAAATTAGTCATGCTCAACCCGCAAAGTCAGAACCATGCAATTCAAAATTTGTTACATTAGCTTAAAAAAATACGCAGCATCAAGAAATAGCAAAAAAAAATTATGAGTTCACCACATAAGAAAGTACTTCTCCTCTTTTCTGCATCAACATGACGGAAAAAAAATTCTTTTTTGCAATGTGGTTTCACGTTTAGATCCTATCAAATATCTTACATCCTTTCTGCATTGTAGTGTAGTTCGGTGTATGCTAGCTTTAAAACTTCACTGTATGCTTCATTACAGCTTTCTTTGCATGATCAAAGTTATGCTCGGCTTCGTGCATTGTTCTTGCATTTTGCCCCTGCCCTTCAGGCGCAATATCTTGATTTGTCTCGATGTTTGTCTGAGTCTTCGGCTTGTCAAAAATGGTCGTTCTGGGCTTTGACATTCAATCCCGTCATTGTTATGACTTTCGAGTTCGTCAAAAGAGGGGCAACTGTAGACACCCCATTTTTTGACCGTCTCAAACTCGACGTCATACCTTTTGAAACACTCGGTGATCATCATGTTTGTGTTCGTTTGGGTTCCGGAGAGGGTCTCGGCTTGCACGCCCTTGTTCAGGAATCCCGAACTGGACCGTTTAGTGTCTGGTTTCCACACCGAACACTTGTGTTTTGCACTTGAAGGGCAGGAATGCCTTGTGAAGGCATCCACCACACCACACGGCAGTTGCTAGAGGCCACCGGGCTGGTTTTTTCTGCCATCGGACTTATTTTGTGCGGTCGGCACAATTTTATTTGCCAGGTCGGCATATTTTGTTGCGGTTGGACTATTTTTTGTCAAAATGACATTTTTGGCTGGCCGACCACTATTCATCTGCGAGGGAGGCAGAGTTGGTGCCAGTTGTGATAGCTGGCACCAACTCTGCCTCCCTCCATACACGTGTATGGAGGGATCTCCCTCTAAGCAAGCTTGTTGTATAAGCTTTGCAAGAGGGAGTCTTATAAGAGAGAGGGGTCTTCCTCTTTGGTCTAGGTTAGAAAGTTGGAACCAAAAACCAGAGCTTAGAGATATAGATACATATTATCTCTATATCTCCCTCTCTCTCCTCCTTTGTGTGTGTTTCTTAGCTCAAAAGTGTGTTTTTACCTTACTTTTGCACCATTACACACACTATTACACCTTGCTCCGAGATTGAGGGACTTGGGGGGTTGTTTCTTGAGTTTTTGGACTGATTTTGATCAAAAGAAGAGGGCTAGACCATTTTTTCTTCAAAGGTTCTTCAAGGGTGAGCATCTTGCCTTATATTTCCCAAACTTGCAATCATCTTTTACCTATTTTACTTTTTGATTTAGCTTTTGTATATAACATGAAAAAGGCTTATATTTTCATGCTTTAGAACTTTCATTAAGGTTGTTTGGTGTTTTGAGTGCAAACTCACTCTATTAGGCTTTGCTTGGCCACTTTTGTTGCCTCTTTGGTTAAGCTTTGGTCATCTTTCTATTTTGATCTCTTCACCACTGAAAATCAGTGTATTTTTAGTGTTGAAAAAGTCGGTTTGAAGTCTTGCATAGGGGAGGGACACCCCTCTCCCTTTATTGTTTTGTTTCCTTGAGTTGTGGCCCAAAAGGGTGGCATGCATGCTTGCTTGGTTTTTGCTTCATTTCAGAACTTTTTGGGTGTTTTTAGGTCATGTGGGATCTCTGTTTTTGGCCGGATTTGTGCCTCCTTGTATGCTTGTAGCACTTGCTTTGTATTGCTCCATTTGGCCTAGAAATGTCCCTTGTGTTTAGACCATGATTTTTGCATGTGTTGGCTTGGTTCCATGAAGATGTTAGCACTATTTTTCCATGTTTAAAGTCTGTTGGTTATCCATTTGGTCATGTTTGACATGTTTGATATGGTTGCTATGCATTTTGGCTTGTGAGCCCTCAAGTATATGAGTCACAAGCATGCCTTAGTTGGTCCACTTTAATGAGTTGAAGTTGTTTGCCATGCTATTTCAGTTCCTAAATCATGTTTGTATGTGTGCATTCATGACCTCTTTTATGCCTTGAGGGTGTACCCTCTTATGCCTAGGAATGAGCCTTGGTGCATATGTCTCTTGGGAGTCACCTTAGCTGCCATATTAGGAAGGTTTGGAATCCTATCTTGGTCTGCAAAATTCTATTTTTTTTTACTTGTCTAAACCATGCCATGATTTGGTCTTGTTGTTGGAAATGAAGTGACCCTTTTGGTGCCTTAACTTTGGGTCTATTGGCTTGTATGTTGACATGAGAGCTTGCCCATCATTTTGAGCACTTTTGGTGCTGTTTTGAGGTGAATTAAGGCCTGCACCTTTATCACTTTAAAGCCCTCTTGCATGCTTGTCCCTTGTTTGCTACATAATTGTTTCATAAATGTGTAGTCCCATGCTAACTTCATGGTAAATTGGTCCATGTTTGCATCACACTTGCATCTTGCATGCTAGCATTGCATACTTGTCATATTTGTTGCATAACATTTGGCATGTCTTGCATAATTAGCATCATGTTGCATCTTGAGTCTTGTGAGCATAACATGCATTGCATCATTTGGCTTGGGGTGTCAAGCCAAATATGAGGGTCAAGGGACATTCATACTTCGAGTGATGTAATGTACCTTGATTCTCGGTCACCGGGGCCTTTGACTCCAACTTGATAAGGCTTCGGTTCTCATTTTGTTTGTTGCATGCATCTTTCTATCAAATGGCAAATTTGATTCTTTGAGCCACCATGCACCATTGATGGTTCGGGGATCGAGGGACATGTTTCCTTGAGTTCAAAGTATGATAGGAAATATGACCATGCTTACATCTGCCTGAAAACCCCATGCCATGCACTGTCTGTTCTCTGTTTGCTGTTAAACTGTCTTCTGCAGGAAGTTTCTGCCGACCGGCAGAATTCAGTGCCGACCGGCAACAATTGAAGTGCCGATGAGCCCAAGAACAGCCGGTGGAAATTGTAGAGTGCCAGTGGGAATTCTGTCTGGCCGGTGGTGCTCTGCAGAGTGTAAGGAACCTGCTCCTGGATTTTGGCAATTTTCAGAGAGACAAGGCAGTGCAAACAGAGGTGGCAGGGGTACGGTACGGGTTTTATGGGCGAGTCAAGTTCCGAGCATGCATCATCTGCGCACCCCGAGGCAGAGGCTGTGGCCACCCTCTTCTTTCTTTTGCATCCTTTCTTTTAATTAATTAGAAATTTTGTAATAATTTTATTTGTTTATTATTTGGGACTGTAATATTTATTTTGATCCTCCGAGTGAGGGCAAATCTGTAATAAGTGTGTGTGGGTGGTGTGTATGTCTTCCAACCCCACTTCTTTCTTCCCTTTTATTTACCTGCTTACGATGGTAGATTAGGGCATGTTTAAATTCAGCATACCTTATGCTATGCATGCGTGCATTCATGCATTTGTACTGCATGTATTAGGCTCGGTACATCACGCTAACTGCATTTGTACTTCAATTTACAAATCGAATATGCGATAATTGATCGCATTACATATGCCATGCTTAGGTTAACCGAGCCTATCTAAATTGCATCTTGTGTGTGTTGCATTAGGCAATTTAACATGAACTAGGACACGCACATTTTTGCTAACTAGTTCACTGTTTTGGCACGGAGTACTAGGTAAGCTTTTTATGCTTTAGCATATCGCATGCGTGTGAATGTTGCCATGATAGCATGATTACCATGAGGCTAGCTGCTCATGTGATATAACTGCTTGAATGCCTGTGGATGGAGGTTGAATTACCTAAATTGGAATAATGCATTAAAACTGTGAGTTTTAAGCCCACTAGATAGTGGCAAAATCATCTTTTCTAAAAGCCCACTCGAGGGTGGCAAAATCTGCATTTTAGCCTACTTGCGAGTAGCAAACCAATTTCAAAACAAACATGAAATGTTTTTGTTCCAATTTGGGCGATTTGGTCTATACTTGTTTGCTGCGCGCACAACATAGTGATTCTAGGCTAATAACCGGTTTAAGGACACATAACGCTTTCAAAATTGGATATCATGGTTAGTAGAGGCCGGTCTTCGGACCGGGCGAAAGGGGGTGCTCATAGCTGACCTTCCCCGATCGTACCCGAGCTCCCGAGCTGAGACAAACTCCGGTGATGACGGACATGTGGCCTTCGGCACCGAGTCAGGGTTTCCTAAATTTCCCCATTTTAAAATATTTAGGTGGCGACTCTGTATCTGGCAAAGCAGTCCATGTTTGGCACTACTTTTTCAAAAATCTGTTTCTCAAAACGATTTGCCAGATTTGGACCCTTTGGTTCAGATTTAGAACCGTGACACAAATCGAGTCCGAACTGTAGCGAGGGTCCCTCCGCGGATGCGTGCTACACCAAGTCATAAACACTACTAATCAACTAATCATAAACACCAGCCATGACCAAGTCATAACATAGGAAGTAACCAAAAGACCACAAAAGAATCGTCTCCAATTATAAATTCATTAAAAGAATCAAAGATCTACCAAAGAATCAAAGCACAAGAGGTACATCTCGGTTCAATTTTCAATTATTTATAAAAAAAAGTCAGTCTGTGACAAATCAAAAAGAATTTATATTTTGATCATATCTACTGTTGTACTTTTGATTTTTGTGTTTGGGCAAATTGTTAACAATAAGAAAAAATTCAAATAATTATGAGGAAAATAGAAAATTTTATTGCCAAAAATGCTAATTATTTTAACTTTTGGCAATTGAACAATAATTATCCTTGTGCCTTGAAAAATGATAAAATTTCTGTTGAGCAGATGAAGTGAATAAATTTAATGAAGAACGAAGATTCTCTTATCTGTATACCGGTTCATCCAATATGACTAACTTCGGGTCACCAATTAGGGCAATCGCAACACTAAGGCGGCGTTTCATTCCTCCACTGTAACTACCAGCTCTTATTTTGGCTGATTCAGTGAGTCTCACCTCTGCTAATGATTCCTGTGCCACCTGTGCTTGAGAAAAAAAGGACTTATCTTAGAATATAGTAATAACCTTTGGAGTTTATTGTAATTTACACAATATCAAGTGGATACGTAACAAAATGAGTATCCAGAAAATCAGTATCAGGTTTGTATAGCACGCACCGATTCAATTGAAGAAGGGGGCAAACCCTTAATACTTGCAAAGAGGTGGAGGTGCTCTTGACCAGACAATGCATCCCAAAGAATATCAAACTATAAACAGTGAAATAAAAATCAATAGAAATAATGGGACAATCAAATCTATGATCTCATTGAAAGAGTGAAAACTAAAAAGAAATGGAAAAGTCCAAAAGGAATCACCTGGGGACAAACTCTTATGATTCTTCGAATATTTGACATGCCAACAGAGCTCTGAACAGAATCTCCATATATTAATGCTGTACCAAGACATGTCATGGTTGGTTAACTTCCTGCTAAATTTATCCAAACAAATCATAATTGCTTTCAATGAGAATTTACCTAAATTCCATTTTCAATTTCCCCCAAATTATTTTTTCCTGAAGTTATAGCTATCAAAGACGAAGTCAAGACGGAATGGAAATGATATATTACATAGATATCACAATTGGGCTCTGACCTGATTCGAGTTTCTTCTCCGAATCTAATGGATTCTGGTTCGCTTTCCTTCGCCAAGACGGTTGTCACGACCCCATTCCGCCCCTAGTAGAGTGGTGCCGTGATGGCCAGTAATCCGAGATTACCAAAGGCCAACTTTCAAAATTCACACACAATCAGAGTATTACATATGAGGCTAACATGTCCAGAAGCAATATATACAAATCTAATTAGTCCATAAGAGCTGTGCATAAGTCAAATGAAATGACATACATCCTTACATAGCTTTACAACTTGATTATAAGCAAAATAAAATACATATTACATCTTGACTAAAAGGCTTCTCAAGCCTACATGTTCAAAATACATAAGCTTCAAGATTGCCGACATAACATGCATTCCAAAACATCTTGCAAAACACACATCTCGGCGTCACCGCCTTCTAGCTTGTTACCTACATATATATATAGAGAGGGTGAGTTTGGATACTCAGTGAATGGTATAAGTAATAAAGGGGTAAATGAATGATTCCCGAGGTCCTTGTCAAAACAATACATATATCATAACTTGTACAAAACAAAGCATGGGATGAATCAAGTTCATTAATCAAATCTTTCAAAGCTTATTGGATGTTAAAACATCAACATGTACTTGGGTTGATGACATTCCGAACAAAACAAATCCACCCGTTCATAGACCGTCAGTGGGGGCTATCTGTTCATAGACCGTCGATAGCAGATTTAGACAAATCCACCCGTTCATAGACCGTTAGTGAGGGCTATCCGTTCATAGACCGTCGATAGCAGATTTAGACAAATCCACCCGTTCATAGACCGTCGGTGGGGGCTATCCGTTCATAGACCGTCAATAGCAGATTTCCCAAACATAATGCAACATGGGCTTAGAGTCCCCTAGCATGGAAGGACTTTCTAAGAATGTCATCCAAAACAAAACTAATTACTTGATACACGAACTTATACTTGATACACAAAATAGGGGTAATCATTCATGCTTAACAAATACTTTCAAAACAAAGCAAAGCAAAGCCTTTATCAAAACGTATAACATAGCTTTATTAAAATGCCACTCACATAGTTCTTGGGATGTCGGGATCAAGGCAAAGGTCCAAGTCCTACAAACACATGGCAAAGTCTATTGAATGTACTCTTAAAAACAAGCTTTACATGAATGCAAATGATCTAGGGAAAACATGCTGGAAAACATCTAGGGAAAACATGCTGGAAACATCTAGGGAAAACATGCTGGAAAACATCTAGGGAAAACATGCTGGAAACATCTAGGGAAAACATGCTGGGTACCAACCAGGTACTGGAATGGATGCACAGAGATGATCTAGGCTAAAATGACCTAGCTGGGTGAACTCAGGAGGTCTTGGCCGAGGTCCCACACCTCTTGGCCGAAGTGTGGTTACCTAGGCTTCAGTGTGCAGCTGCCTGCTGAGGTGTTACAAGGTGCCGGCAAGGGTGTACCATGGTCGGCCAAGGTGTGCAGTGGTTAGCCCAGGTGTGCATGCAAGATAAACTAACGTGCAAGTGATCATGCAAGGTAGGCCAAGGTGAGATACGATGCTTGGCCTAGGTGTGTGATCTAGGCAAGAGTGGTCTCGGTGATCACACCTAGGGAAATGAAGCCTGGAAATCTGGGTTTCCTCCTTGAAGAACATGAAAAACATGAGCATGAAGAACATGAATGCTAAAATCATAACTTGTTATTACAAGATCTGGGATTTCATGCTATGAGTTCGAAAACATGGACCTTGGTACCCATACTTGAAGATCATATGAAAACAAACACGAAAACATGCATCTTGATACAAACTTTCGGATCAAAACATGGTTTTCTTCAAGAACACATGAATATCACTTTCTCTTCCTAAAACTGAACTTCAAAGCAATGCATGGTTCATGAAACACGCTAGATCATGTAATGCGATTAGATCAACATAAAGAATAACAAGAGTAGATCACGAATCTAACCTTAAAATACGGATCTAACAGTTCGATCTCTAGGGATCAAGCTTGGAAATCTACCTCTCTCTAGAATTCCTCTTCCTCTCTTCCTAGAGCTTCTCTCTCCTCCTTAGAACAAAGATATAGAAATGATAGGTTTCTCTCTCTGACGGCTGACTTAACACTCTGCCGGGACACGTGGCACTACCGGATTGGTTCTCCTCAAAAAGGTGACTAAGTGACAAGACATGTGTAAGACAAAGTGTATACAACAAGCTAGATAACATGGGCACTCCGGCAGGTAATGATCTCGGCTTAGGACAAAGGCTTCGGCAAGTAAGGTTCCAATGACCTCGGCTAAGAAAATCGATGGCAGGAGAAGCGGGGACCGAGGATGAATCGGAGTGTGGTGGTGATGATGAGGATGAAGAAGGAGGCTCGGTGGCCATTCGAAAAACCCTAGAAGGGTTGGATGAGGAAGTTCGAGCTCTGAAAAACTTGAATCGAATGAGTTCAGTCGAAGCGAGTGAAGGTACCAAGAAGGATTTACAGAACACTCGACTCCCATTTGAAATCAAGAAGAAGAGAGGGAGAAGGGTTAGGTGGGAGGCAAACCTGTGAGAGACAGAAGAAGATGAGTGTTTGATACACTTGGGTAGAAATGAGAGGACTGTTTGAGAGACAACCGTTAGATGTTGATCAGGAAACATCTCAACCATTGATACAAATGTATCTCTCATACATTTTTACACATTTTCAAAAACTTTCCTCCCTTATTATATATATATATATATATATATTTACAACAAAAAAATGAAATTTGTAGGCAAAAATGCATTTAGAGTCTATTTCATTTTTAAAAAAAATATATTATAAACAGTTACCAAATTTATTAAATTCTTATAACCATAAAAATAAATAATAAAAAAAAATGATTTCACGTGTTTAATGTTTTGATCAATTTTAGACATTGAAGTACTTGAAAGTTTTTGCCATTGTTACTAATAGCCAACGAGATCGAAGCTGTGGTTGTGCTTTATTATGGTTTCATCTTCTAATCCTTTCAAAGTGTTTGGGCTTTTACCAATTTATCTTTTCTTTACACTACTTAACATTTCAAACCATAATTCCATCCTACCACCTTCAACTCCCCAGTTATCCATCGCTACAAATTAGCCCCTTTCTAGCCCCCACCACCACAATACCCCTCATCAACCCCACGTAATACCCCTCATCAACCCCCCTGTGACCAAGGATGGATTTAGAGGGTGATGAGGGCAATTGTACCCTCAAAAGTATTTTTGTGGCATAAATAAAATCACCCTAATCCAAATGTACGTTGCTAAAGTGTTTTCCAAACAATACACAATAAGAGCATCTCCAACGGTTACTCAGATTTTTCACCAAATTTGAGTCAAAAATGACTCATTTTACCAATTTGATACCACTCGCTCCAACGGTGCACTTTCATCAAATTTGTGCCAGGAACAACCGGTTGGTCGACCGGCCGGGCGACCGGTTGGTCGACCGGTTAAGCGAAAATTTTTTTTTTTTTGAACTTTTTGAACCTTTTAGTGGTCGACCGGCTGGTCAACCGGCTGGTCGACCGGCTAGGCAAAAAATGTTTTTTTTTTTTTTTTTTACTGTTTGAACCTTTTTTTTCGAACCATTTGAACCTTTAGGTGGTCAACCGGTTGGTCAACCGGCCGGGCAACCGGCTGGTTGATCGGTTGGTCTCTCCCAACGGTTAGGAACAGTGATTTGGTAAAATGCTTCGCCTGTTCTCATTTTGGTACAAAATTTGCTGAATTCTGGATTTGATATCGCTTTGGTGAAACGGTTGGAGCTCAAAAAAATGACTTTTTCATCAAATTTTGAATTTGATATCACGTTTGCTGAAGCGTTGGAGATGGTCTAAGGGATTGGCTTAAATTTCCACTACCCGGCCTACAAACACAAGTTGGAACAATTGTGCTTGGAAACTTCTTGTTACATATATATGAAGATGCAACCAGCACACAAAGAAACAGGAAAGAAGGGAAGTGTACCTGACAACTGGTGATTCAATACAATGCAATACAATACAATAATTTCACCCTAATCTTTCCAAAAACTGTTTGAAATTATTATTTGAGGAACCACCCTCCTTGACAGCCTCCAAAGCCAACCCTTTCCATTTCACAACATTCCTTCTAATCTCCTCTCCCCTCTCCCCCCCTCCCATCACCACATCCAAACACCTCTCAATCTCCCCCCTCTCCACCACTTTCTCTTCATTCACCACCGCTCTCACCCCTACCCCCCACACCTCCTCCACCATCTTCGCGTTCGTCATCTGATCCGAAAATACCGGACAACCCACCATCGGCACACCCGCAACCACACTCTCCACCGTCGAATTCCACCCACAATGCGTCACGAAACACCCGATCGAATGGTGCCCCAACACCTCCAATTGCGAACACCACGACACTATCAACCCATTTCCTTTACCCAACTCAGCCTCAACATTTTTTTTCAATTCTTCTGATCTGATAACCCACAAGAATGGTCGGCAACTTTGCACCAGACCCTTTAAAATCTCATCGATTTGAGGCTTCTCCAACACCACCATGCTTCCAAACGACACATAAACGACCGAGCAATCGGGTTTTGAATCCAACCATTGAATATAGTCCTCTCCAGATCGCTCGAACAAGTCGATTTTAATTGAATTTTTGGATTGAATTAACGGTCCGATTGCAATGACCTTCATGTTAGCAATGGCTCTGATTGAGTCTTGTTCAAAAGCATCGAATGTGTTTACGAGAATCAATGGATTGGGGTCTTCTTTTAGGGTTTGTATGTGTTCTTTGATTGTAGGTATCACAGAACTGTGTGGACTCTCAGGTAAGAGAAACGAAGGTACGTCGTCGCTTGAAAACAATGGCAGTCCAGGTAATTTAATGGAAATCGAAGGGTTGTTGAAGTAGGTGTGGAATATAGCGAAAGTAGTGGCGGACTGAATGGAGAAGAAAGCGGAGGGCACGTGCATGTCACGTGCCACGGCGGCGGCCCAGGGGAGGAGGATGGTGTAGATGATGAAGGTTACCGGAGAGCCGCCGGTTTGGGAGCCGACTCGCTTGAACTCGGACATGACTCGGGTTTGATCGGTGGTGGGGTGATCGCCGTCGTCGAAGCCGTCGGAGAAGGAAGCGTAGGAGAGGCCGGGGAGGGTGGGGAGAGTGGTGGTGATGCGGCGGAGGCCGTGGACGGTGGTGGCGAATTTTACGTATTTGTGTGTTTTTATATATTTTTCTGGGTATTTGTACATGTATTTATGCTAATAATCTCTTTTATATATTATTATATTGAAAAGTGCATAGTAATTTTACTGTGCATTTAAAATCACTGTGCATCTTTTGAAATCAACTCCTTCCACCACCATTTCTTCTTTTGTCTTTTTCTTACAATTATTTTCTATAAAAGGGGGGAGATCAGAGAAGGAAGAAGAGGATTTTTGGCAGGGGAGAGATTAGAAGAGTGAAAAAAAAATTGGGAGAGAGAATAAAAAAAAGGGAATTGGAGCGAGGGAATTTTGAGAGAAAAAGAATCAGAAAAAAGGAACCACTAAAGTTGTAATTCCAAATTTTGACAGAGAATTGTGAACACATTCCACAGACTTGAGGGTAATCAAAAGAAAGTTTGTGAATCAGAAAATTCATCATGTCCCCGAAAGGTGAGTTTTCGCAAACTTTCATTTAATTTCAAAATGTGATATAATTTGTTTAAGTACTTTATTTATTGTTTTTCATAATTTTTTTTTATCGCTTTAAATGGTCGGTTGAACCACCTAATTTTATTACTTTATCTGCTGTAATTTACGGTTGTATATAAACTGTTGTAATTTACATAAAATGTTGTAGTTTACTATTTATAAATTGTTGTAATTTTATCACTTTAAATGGTTGGTCGAACCACCTAATTTGTTAAAAGATGTGACCCCGCCAAATGAATAGTGATCGGTGGTGAATAGTAACCTCCGGCGGTAAATAGTAACTTCCAGCGGTGAATAGTAACCCCGACGATGAATAATAGCCCCATCGATGAATAGTAGCTCCGGCGATGAATAGTAACAACGGATGAAAAATGCCCGGTAAGATGAATAACGATCAAGAAAGGTGAATAGTAATTGTCATGATGAATAGTAACTTCCGGCAGTGAATAGTAACTTCCGGTAGTGAATAGTATCTCGGGATGAATAGTGCTCCCGCAAAAATAAGTTTCCCCGAACAGAACGGAGCAGTCTTCCTACGACAAGCAAAATATTTTCCGGCGCACATGAAGTTTCTTTATTTTATCTTATTTTATTTTTATTTTTTTTTATTTTTTTTTTATTTTGAGAGTTTGTGAGGTTTTTATTTTGTTGTAATATTCCTTTCTTTCTCTCTTATCTGGTTTGTAATAATTTATTCAGAGCATTGTAATAATTCCCTGCCCCACTTCTTTCTATCACATTCTTTTACTTGCTTTGCTTATTTGTACATAAACATCATATTTATTTTTCATTATATTCATGCTTTGCATCCATGTTTCATGCATCTTGATTCGGCTAAGTTTGCATTTGTGGATTTAATCAATTCCTATGTGATTATGTGCGCTACCTCATGTTCTTGAGATGATTCACATATCATATTTTAGAAGCCGAATCTTTAGTTGCATCTCATGAGTGAATTGCATTAGGATTTTGTATATAAGATCATGCATATTTTACTAACTTTGTTTTGCAGCTTGTTCGTGGGACATCAAACATGTGAGTTTTTATGCTTTAGCATCCCGTGTGTGTGTATTTTTCTTACTATGTCTAGCATTCTACCATGAGGCTAGTTGCTTATGTGATATAACTCTATGAATGCCAGTGGATGGAGGTTGTGTCGCTTAATTTGGAATGATGTTGATTTTTCATGCTTGTAAACTCAATTTATTTGGGTTGTACATCGTCAAAACTCTTTCAAAATGCATGATATCAAATTACTCCAAAATGAATGGCATAGTCTATACTTGTATGCTTCACATAGTAAATTTTAGGATTTATTAACTAATCAGAACATGAACATATAAATAATTTTTTTACACTAGTGCAATTCCTTTTAATTGTGTCAACAACCCTATATTTCCACTTATGGTTAAGAAAATTGGAGATTATGGAAAAGGCCTTGTGCCACCATCTTACCATGAAATTAGGGTGACATTTTTAAAAAAAGAAGTGCAAGAGACATTGCAATTGCTTGATGAGTTCAAGGAACAATGGAAGAAGACCGGGTGTACAATTATGTCCGATGGATGGTTGGATAGAAAGAGAAGATCAATTTGTAATTTTCTTGTCAATAGCCCTAATGGAACTATCTTTCTATCATTATTGGATACATCCAACATTTCAAAAACCGGTGAAAAGGTTTTTGAGATGTTGGATGAGGTTGTTGAGAAGGTTGGAGTGGAGCATGTTGTGCAAGTGGTGATCGACAATGCTTCTAATTATAAGTTGGCAAGAGAAATGTTAATGGATAAGGGGAAGAGCTTGTTTTGGACACCTTGTGCCGCTCATTGTATAGATTTGATGTTAGAGGATTTTGAGAAACAAATCCAACTTCATCGAGTTACAATTAAAAAAGGGAAAAGAATTGTGGCATACATTTATTCAAAAACAAATCTTATTCATTGGATGAAGGAGTTCACCGAAGGTATTGAACTTATTAGGCCCGCGGTAACTCGGTTTGCCACATCTTACTTGACCTTGAGGCACCTTCATGAGCAAAAGGGTGCATTGTTCTCTTTGTTTACATCATCCAAGTGGAGGAATAATCGATTTGCAAGGTCTGAAACGGGTAAAAAAATTGAAGATATTGTTTTAGATAATTATATTTTTTGGAAGGGCATTTCTATGTGCTTGAAGGATGCGGTACCTCTCATTAAAGTACTTAGATTGGTGGATTCGGATGAGCATACGGCGATGAGATTCATTTACGAGGCAATGGATTGTGCGGAAGCAGAAATTCAAAGCAATTTCAATAATGTTTTTGCATAGTAAACTTTTATTTAGTTAAACTTATTTACTTTACTACTATATTTCCCTAAACTTCTTATTTTTTCTTGTTCATTAATACTCTTTATTCAATGGTGTTAGCTATGATTCTATATGGACCATCATTGATAGAAGATGGAAATCCCAACTCCATAACCCATTGCATGCTGCAGCATACTTCTTGAACCATCAGTTTCATTACAGTCCCAATTTTTAGCCAGATGTTGAGGTTAAAATTGGGCCGAACAAATGTCTTGAAAGAATGGTTATTAATGCTAATGAGAGGGTGAAGATTGATTTTCAAATTGATGCATTCGAGAGTGCAAGGCATACAAAATGCAATCATGGCTAGAAAAAAGAAATCTCCAGGTGTTTTTTTATTTTTACTATAAGTTGATTTGTATCATTTTTAATATCTTATTATTTGTTTTCATTTCATCAATTTTAAATTTATAACTAAATTTTCATGTAGCTGATTGGTGGGACTCTTTTGGTGATGAATGCCCTGAGTTGAAGAGGTTTACAATTAGGATATTAAGTTTAACATGCAGTTCATCGGGGTGTGAGCGCAATTGGAGTGATTTTGAGATGGTACATTCAAAGCGGAGGAATCGTTTGCACCAAAAGAGAATGAATGACTTGGTGTTTGTCATGTACAATTTGCAATTGAGACAATGACACATGAATAGACAAGCAATCGTAAATCCATTATGTTTGGATGATGTCCCATCAGGTGATGAATGGATAACAAAGAGAGAGACTCTGACTCTTCTAAGAGAAGGAAATTGGTTGAGTGTGCTTAATAGGAGTGCTCGACATGGATATGATTCGGATGAAGACGAAGTAGAGGCCCTTGCAAGGAATTTGGAACGAGCCTGTAAGTTTATGTACACATCTTTTAGTTTTAATTAGAAATTATAACTTTAGTTTTACTTTTAATTTTTTTGTTTACTCCAACTTAGGTCGTGATCATATTGGTGGAGAACATGATGAAGTTCATGAAGTAAGTGATGATGATGCTATGGATCAAAACATGGATGCTTGAAGGGATTTTGATCATGACTTTGAAGATGCTATTATTGGTGAAAACATTGAGGACTTGGATGGCACCCTAGGTGGTGATGGTGATGATGATGATGTGACAATGATTAATGTTGATTGTGGCAATAATGATAATAATTTTGGCGACCATGATGACTTATTTTAGTCTTTTATTTGTTCTTCCTTTATTTAGTTTGTCTTGTTTTCATTAAGAAACAATGACAATGGTGTGCAAGTGTTGGTATTTGCTTTTATTATGTTTTTGACTTTTTTTTTTTTGGGCTTCTTCTATATATATTTTGATAGTATTACTTTATCATATAAAAATTATTGCATTTTTTTTTATCATTTTAGTAGGATCTTACGATCCTCGATCCGATTTAACAGACCCCCAAAATGATCCTGTGTAGGATCCCGATCTTAACAACTTTGGTAGTCAAGTTCAAATAACTAACAAATACTCGACACTCATCATATTGTAAATATGAAACATGAAATAACAAGTAATGAGTTAATTGATTAATGTAATATGATGTTGACTCTTGGTACTTAATTCAAAAGAATAAGATGAACATCACTTAATTCAGAAGAATAAGACGAACATCAAAGTTGTATCAGTTGCAATTTGTTTTTAGACAGTCAAATGCTACAAAACTAAAATGTAAAAATTTGTATCTTAAATAAGCAGAATTTGTATCTTAATTCAAAAGAATAAGATGAACATCAAAGTAGTACCAGTTGCATGTTAAAGCAAAATTTGCTTTAGTATTTTATGATTTAGCCAATGCATAGAGTTTAACACGATTAAACCCAGTTCCCTAGAAGCAATGGTTTATCCACAAAATATATAAAGCAACAAGTGTTCCTTCATTTTTAATTTCTTCCCCGCCATGAATAGTCGCTTGAGAATGATTTACATTCATCTCCATAAAATTGAGAGCAAATTCAATCTCCATTTGGTTTGACAAACAAAAAATAAATAAATAAATTGATCTCAAAAAGGCATTTCCATGTAATAAAATTGTGTCTACATCTACAAGAACTCTTCATAACTAGCAGTGTTTTCAAGGGACATAAACCAGCACTACACAATAATATTATATATTACAGGTGCTTCATGTGAAGCATACAAAAAGGGTTTATAATCAGATAGAAACTATGCAGGGTACATTATCCTAACCTCCAAAAAATATTTTACAACACCAGGGTTC